AACTATTGCTGTGAGTTGCTGTGTGCCACCAATAGGTTAAATTTCCTGAAGGCAAAGATAATGTGGGTTCTGTTCAGTGTACAGCAAGCACTTAATGTGGTACCAGTCATATAAGAGCCATTCAGTGGGCAAATGGACAAGAGAAGAAATGAATGAAGGGACTCTCAAGGTGATTAAGCGGGAGTTTGCCAGACAAGGATAAGAGTGTTATGGTATGATCTGAAATGTCCCTCTAAAGTCTCATGTTTGGAAGGTGTCATAGTTTGTGGGCTTTGCAAGGGGAACAGTACAAGACATATTTATAAGATTGTTTATGATGGTCACCCACAGAATCATATCCAAAAAGAGAGTACAGGAAATATGTCCACATACTAAAGACCAAAGAAAACAACTGAGAGCCTGGATCCCACAATAATGTCCTACATGAGTCCAGCTGAAGACCTACAGCCCACAGCAATGCCTCACCCAAGCCCAAATGGAGGCCTACAGCCTACAACAATGTCTCATGCAGGGCTGCTGAGATCTGTGCTGAGAAGGTACAAAGGTCAGTAGTGGAAGTAATGCTCTAGAAGAGGACCAGAACTCTCCCAAAGTGAACTGTAGCATTATCAGCGACAAGATCCTGAGCTCCCCTTCCAAGAAGAATAGCCACATTCATCAGGAAAGCCAACATAACAAAGTCCTCCAGCAGAGTAGCTCAAGAGAACCAGCAGCTCCAACAACTTCTCCAAAAGCTTCCCTAACAATCTTCCTTCTCCAGTTCTGCCTCTTACGCTGCTGGCAACAATCTTCCTCCCATACTTAGCACCAAGCTAGTTCAGTTCAGCTGGGTATAACAAATTGACCACCACTTGGTCCACCACACAAAGTGATTGGATTATGAGAGTGCTGTAGTCAGGCACCCATGGATTGGCCCACTGATGGGCTCATAGCTGACTTGCTATTGGAAGGTTGGAGTCTGCTCAGAGAAGGCAGTCACTGGGGGTGTGATCTAGAAAGGTGCATCTCCTACCTCAATTTCCTCTTCCTTTTTGCTTCCTGGCCACCATGATATGAGCAGCCTTCCTCTACCCACATACTTCTGCTACATGCTCTGCTTTGAAACCAGCCTCCCATGGACTACAACCATAAGCCAAGAAAAACCTCCCCTCCTTTAAGTCCTGGGTGTTGGGTATTTTGTCCTACTAGTAAGAAAATGATTAAGACATAGGGTGTTCACGTATGCATGAGTTGCTGAAGTTAAAATCATGGCTAGTGGAGGGGGTTGAGATGCAAGGAGGCTGGGAAGTACAAATATACAGATGCCATGAGAAGAGGCAGGTGCCAATCAAGGAGTTCCTTCTAAGTCATGGTAAGGAGTCTGAATTCAATGCCAAGGATTCTTCACTATCAAGGATTTTCCTCAAAGAAAGATCTATCTAACCAGTGTGTATTTTTAAAAGTCCATTCTTTATTCTGCAAATATGTCAATAATTCAAGTCCAGTTTTTAAAAGTAGAAATCTCACCACTCAGAGATAATTACCACTTGACCATGAATAACAAAAAAAATCTATCTCAGTTACCTATTGTTGTGTAACAAACCACTCCAAAACCTACTGGGATAAAACAATGGCTTCTTGTCTCTCATCAGTCTGTGGGATCAGCTGTGTGGCTCCTCCACTGTGGTGTAGCTGAGGATACAGGTAGGAGCATATCTGAGCCTCTTTCCCTATGGCCTCTTGTCTGATGCTCCTTTGCAGCATGACAGCTGGCTCCCAGGAGGACAAAGGGCTACTCCTAGTCCTCTTAAAGTCTAGTCTTGAACGTGTACCTAATTTCTTGCACTTTTAGGGTCAAAGCCAATCACAAGGGCAGCCAAAATTCAAGGAAAACAAGACTCCACTAATACCAACAATGGTTGCCATACTGAGAAACTACCCAACCATCTGACATTCAAACACAAAGATAGTTGTCAATTGTTGCTGGTGCTAATCAGTAAAATGGAACTCAAAAGCAACAAATGCAAATACAGTATCTTAACATAAAAATCTAAATGGATTGCATAAAGTGACAATTTGGTTCTCCGTCGAGCATCGCCATGGCCTCCTGCTTCAACAGTGCTTGAACCACATTAGTGCTGCAGCCCAGCCTCACCCACCACAGCCATAACCCGCCGAGCCCTCACAAGTGCGCCAGAACTACTACCAGGATGCTGAGGCCGCCATCAACCTCCAGAACAACCTGGAGCTCTACGCCTCCTACGTCTACTTGTCCATGTCTTACTACTTTGACTGCGATGATGTGGCTTTGAAGAACTTCACCAAATACTTTCTTCACCAATCCCATAAGGAGAGAACACGCTGAGTTGATGAAGCTGCAGAACCAGCGCGGTGGCTGGATCTTCCTTCAGGATATCAAGAAACCAGACCGTGATGACTGAGAGAATGGGCTGAATGCTGCACTTGGAGAAAAGTATGAGTCAGTCCCTCCCAGAACTGCACAAACAGGCCACTGATAAGAACGACCCCTATCTGTGTGACTTCATCGAGACGCATTACCTGGATGAGCAGGTGAACGCCATCAAAGAGCTGGGTGACCATGTGATCAACCTGCACAAGATGGGAGTCCCCGGGTTCTGCATGGAGTACCTCTTTGACAAGCATACCCTGGGGGACAGTGACAATGAGAGCTAATGTCACCAAGACAGCACATGAATGTTGGGGCTACCTTAACTTTTTCTATAAATTATACCAGAACATCTACTTAAGTTCTTTAATTCCTTCAAAGAAACTTGGTACCTGACCAAAAAAAAAAAAAAGTGACAATTTGCATATGCAGTGGGAGAGGTGAGATGTAGCAAGTACAATATATTGGAGTTGAAATGAAAGGAACTGAAAGGCAAAGCCTAGACCCAAAATATGTTGTTTAGAAAATGGCTCTATAGTTCAGTATTAGCTCTGGCTGTGACAGATAATTAAGACTATTTGTCTGATCTCACTTCCTAGAGGTAAAATGTCAAATGGAAAAATGGGGTCAAAAGGAAGGAGACCAGCACTCTGGCACAAAGCTCTACTATGCACTATGGCAGGAGCCACAAAGCAGACACACCATATACTAAGAAGTAACACCATCAACAGCAGGAAGCTAAATCTCTTCAGTTATGGTGGGCAAGGATGAAATAAAATTCTGCCTTCCCCTCTACCTGGAATGTGTTGCATACCTGTCTAACTTTTATTCATCTCAGTCATAGGAAAAAGGGCATCATCAGACTCCTGGACTTGTCAGTCCTGTAACAGTGCCTAAAGAAAGAAGTGTCTCTCAATTTTTTTCTTTCTCATCTCCATTTTTCCTCTTTCTCATCTCCCCACTCTGTCAATTGTTCAGTCCTTCATTACCTCTTGGATTTTTAGGACTTGTTACTTGTCTGCATTCTACATCTCTGTATTCCCCAGTCCATCTTCCAAATAGCTACCAGTTATCTTAACACAATTTTGTTCTTTTAGTTCTAGGAAATGAAAAGGAAATACAAGTCAGAGACAGGTACAGATTATAGCCTTGTATATACACCATGATATAGATTCTCCTGCACTCAGTAGGACCTATTTTTTCAAGACAGTCAATATTTGCATATTTTTTAAAGCTATGTAGATAGCAAGGTAGAGATCAGGAAGCAGCCTAGAATGAGACCTCACTGAAATATTTAAGTAACCCTAATTGATAGATTGTAACACAAGTCTAACATAAGACACTGGCAGAAAACGTGGAGACTGAGGAGAGATATTAAAAAAAAAATTATGCTAAAAGCCAGTCATCTTCCAGTAAACCAGGCTGAGATAGGGATTATCACCTAAAAGGAAGACTTGAACAGATAAGTATCTTCTTCACCAAGACAAGACATACAGAAAAATAAGTTTAAAAAGTAATCAGAACATCCAAGTAGAATGGCCAGTTTTAAAAGAACAGGCAAGGAACTCAGTAATGAAGTCTAAATACACTAAAAAATAGATGAAGTCATGGACAGATTCACACAGAAATAACAATACTCTCTTTTTTTTTTCTTTTTTTTTTTTTTTTTTTTTTTTTTTTTTTTTTTTTTTTTTTGCAAAACAGGGGATTGAACTCAGGCCCTTGCGCTTGCCAGGGAAGCGCTTATTCCACTGAGCCATCTCCCTGGCCCCAACAATACTCTCTTGAAAGAACTGAAGCATCACAAGATTTTAAAAGCCCCAAATGAATTTTATATTTTTTTTGGTTGACAGTTTATTAAATACACTACATCTGTACCTTAGTCTTTTTTTTTTTTTTTAAGTTGCTCACACAGGGACTTAGTAAAAATGTATTTTATAGAAAACTATCTGCTAAACTAAAATGAAAAAACACACACCACACATATATTACTTCTGTATTGTTATGAATCAATTTAATTTATACAGGTGATCATGAAATATTAGGTGGTTTGATTTTCTTAAATCTGGTACCAGACCATGACGTTGTGTTAACGTCCAAAGGCGGTGCAAAAATGTCTATTAACAAAACTGCTTCCTAGTGGCAAGCAGCACAAAACACTTATTTTCTTTACAGACACCCTTCCAAATCATTCCTGATGCATTCTCTCTCCCTTTCAGAGAATCAGCTGTGCAGACTGATGAGGTTAAAAACCAATTAAAAAACAAAACAAAACAAAATAGTACCTATTTACAAAACAGGCAAAAGAATTTTACGTAAGATGTTACTGCAGAACTAGCTTAAAAAGAGTACAGCAGAGGGACAGAATATACCTTACTTCTACAAATATAGGTCCTTTCCCCTACTTTCTGGAAGAAATACATTTTTTTAGGGCATGGGCTATATAAAATCGCATACACTGCAAAGACAGAAACAAAGACGTTTGTAAATCCTTTATATTTCCAGCAGCTGAGACAATATAACTGAACACCGAGGTTACCTCAAGCGGCGAAACCAGAGCCAGCTATTAAGCAGCCAGAAAGCAACAGTAATTGAATACATGACCATTTCTTTTTTAGCACGTTCTATTTTCCTCTTCTAGAAGTTGTAGGCATCTATTTAGTTTGATTATCTGTCGTCTTAATGAAGCTGCATCTACAACAGTCATGCCATCTGTTGTTCCTTCAATTCTTGCATCTACATTTGAAATACCATACCTGACGTCATGATGAGGATTGGAAGTGGCAGCAGCAGACCCACCACGCAACACAGATATAGCATCGTTTCTGACCAGCTGTCCACTTTGGCGAACAGCATTTTCATTCATAGAGCGCTCTCTTTTTAGCCTGCCAACTGCACGGATTTCATCACTTTGAAATACCCATAATGCTTTTTTTTTTGCGGAACCGGGGATTGAACTCAGGCCCTTACGCTTACCAGGGAAGCACTTATTCCACTGAGCCATCCCCCCAGCCCCTATTTCATCACTTTGAGGGGTTGGAGAAGGTCGTTCTAAGTCCAGAAAATCTAGTGGTCTCTCACTTATTGTAAGTACATGAGGTGGTGTTTTTAGTGCCAGAGGTTTTAAAGGAGTCGACTGAATAAGGTCAAGATCTGCTGGTCTTGAAAATGAAACGTCTCCATTATTTCCTGCTACAACAATCCTCTCTGGAACTTGCATTATCACACTAGCATTTGGAACTCCTTCTTGGAATCTTTGTTCCATGTCAGCATTTGGTGGTGCGACTTTTAATTTTTCTGGAACCCTCATTCGCTGACTAATACCTTCGGTGTATTCCATTTCATACTGAATTCGACTAATTTCTGCCATCTCAGCAGCAGTGGGAGAAGGAAATGCTGCCACGCTAACCAAATGTGTACCAAGTACTGCTCGTTGTCTGGCACTATCTGCTTCTGAGCTTCATATTAATCCTTAACTTGCTTCCCATGCATGGGCTGGACTTGGAGCCTCGTCAGTCCCAACCCAGCGCCCAACTAGAAGGGGGCGGGATGGGCCCCGAACTCGCTCGGGGCAGCAGGTGCTTCTCCTCGGAAGGCGAGGGCCGCGGGGCTGCGGGCGCACCGCGGGGTCGGGATGCGGCGGCAGCTCGGGCGGCCCGCGCTGTCGGCTCCCGGCCAATAGGCCTGCACGCCGGCCCGGAGCCAATTTCGGGTCGGCTCCCGGGGCGCTCGCAGAGGCCGTTGGCCGAGTGCCTAGGGCACCCCGGGCGAGGCACCCACAGAGCGGCCCGCACCAGGCAGGGACAGATGCAGAACGGCTGGTATTGGCCCCTCTCTGAATTTTACATCTTAAGACAAAAACAAAATGTATTGCCCACCATGATTATTTGAGTAGGGTCATCCTCAAGCCTTTCCATTAGAACATTAGGAAAATGTCTTTGTCTTCATGGAGCAACAAGTATTTCATGACAACTATCTTTTAATAACTTAATTTTCTAATCAACTAGGAAAAGCCAACGTCCATAAAAGCCAAGCTACATGGAATACCTGTGCAAAGACAATTAAGCAACCTGAGACCCAGAGATGCAGAGACAGAAGCTAATGAAACTCCATGGCCCTCAAAACCCTGTGTTTATTCACCAAGTCCTTATTAAAATTTGGCTTGTCCCCAGAAAAACTGTACAGCTCTGCCAACCCAGAAATTTTGGCCTACTTGATACCAGTTGCCTTTCACTATAAATGAACAGGCATTCAGGTTAATACACCAGTCTCTGTGACCTTGCTAAATGTGAATCCATTCCAGAAAGAGATCAATTCACCAGTGACGTCACTTTCAGTACTTCCAAGACTAAGGGCCACACTATGAGGAGGAACTATTGCTTGGAGAACTTCTGACAGTCAGAAGGCTAACACTAGAGGCACTCTAGCTGCACTTCAAGCCTTTTCACTGAAACACAGCAAGCTGAGCTGGAGGTATAGCTCAGTAGTGACCTTGCAAAGCATGCACAAACCCCTGGATTCAATCCCCAGTACCACGCACACACACACACACACACACACACACACACACACAACCTAAAAATATCAAAAATTAGTATGTAACTGCAAGCAAAGAGATTTCATTTTATTTTGAATTGTCATCTACTGTCACTTCAAAAAGGCCTATTCTGGAAAACATCCAATGGATGTTGACTTACCAGTAAAAAAAGTCATCAGTGTCTGATTGTAACACTGGATACATAATAAATTATATTTACATGCAATGACTACACTATCACACAGTAAAAAAATATAGTATTTTATGTACATTTTTAAAGATTTACATTTCATATACAGTTTACAGTTAAAAATTCTCTGAACAAAATCTTACGTGTACAGAGTTTATATATCTCCATTTATGGCTGTGTCACCACAGACGTGCTTAAAACCGTAATACTACAAATACTTCAGGGTTTTACTTCATATTCAAGTCTTGGCATCCATACACTAATACATATTATTTTTGAAATGTGAATTACAAAGGAAATAAAATGTAATCATGCAGGTATTTTAATATAGGAAAACCAGATAAAATATGCTACTAAATCCACACTTACAGATGCCACAGTTCCCTAGTTAACTTCCTGTACTGCTTTCATACAGGTACATGCAAAACTAGATTATCAATTTTTAAAATAACATTAAAACACTAAAGAGTCTGACAATACTTAGGCAATAAGAATGCAATTGCCCTAGCCTGACAGTAAGTTCTGCTTAAGCAGAAATCTCAAATAAGACAACAGACTAAAGTCACAAAGATGTCATTATTGTAATTACTAAATAAATGGGATCCGCATCAGATAGCATACTGATCATTTAAAGAATAAGTGTCTGACATTGAAGAGTACTACAGAATCTGCTGAGAATATGGGGGGTAGGAAAATTAAGATAAATCATTAAAGGATTATCTATCATCCCTGTAAGGAAGTACTTGTACACCCCGCCCCTCTCATGTGAATAAAGACACCTGAAGGTTTTATAAAGTTTAAGCTAAGCTACACTATTCATCTTTAAAAATCCTGAAAAGTAACAAAGGTATCAGCACCTCTCTTTCTCTCCCAAGTAGCTAAAGATCAATGAGAAAAATAAAGTGCCAATGTCTAAAGTATTGTTAACTGTTTAAGAGGCACTAATCCATTTGATGGCTTAGGATTAAATATGAAAATAGGCCAGATCTGATCTGATAATAAATAGAAGGTAGATATTCCAGTCTATGTAATTCCCGCTTAGGTGGGGGCCATACCAGGAAACCAACTCCCCCCATTTATTGCTTTGAAACCAGTAAATATGCTTTATATTTTGACATGGAACAATCACAGCTCTAAGATGGAAAGCACAGTGTCTGTGCTACTTTGAAGTCAAAAAAGAAGGAGCAGTCTTGATCACTGGGAGAACTGCTGAAGGTCTCTTCCCCACAACTCATATCTTCACAAGAGTCCTCACTGTATATACAAAAGAGAAACAAAAAGAGGGTCTCGTTACTTACGATGCTCAGAGGCTTCATACACAACACGCAAGAAACTAAACCTGCTGGAGTCAATGAGTATTCTTAAATTTTTTTAATACTTTATCTATTTTTTAAATGTATATTAATACAGGGTCAACAGAGTCTCACTACACAGATCAGACTCAGTGATCCTCCTCTTTTCAGCCTTCCAAGTTCTCGGATTACAGGCATGTGCCACCATGCCCAGTCTCAATCACCGCCTTAGCGTGCCCTGGGGGCGGGGCTGGCACCCCACACTGGGGACTGAACCCTGGCCACCGAGCTCTGCTTAAGCAGGTGCTTTAGTCCGCTAAGCTATTTGTTTTTTTTTTTTTTTAATATTTATTTTTATTTATTACATTTATTT